CCTCTAGGAAAAGTAAAGTAACAGGACTTCCAGAATTTGCTAAGCATCAGCAGTTCTTTGAAGATGATGGCAGGTGGCAAATACTTAGCATTTTTGAGGATTAGGAGCTGCAATAATTTTTTTTTCTTTTCTCTCTGGATTTAGAAAAATCTTGAGCGATGTCCTGCCAACAGAGACCACACCTTCCAAGAGAACTTAGGAGAGAACAAATGCCAGAAGTTTTTTAGGGTTTTTTTTAATTTCTTTTTCTGAGTGTAGCATACAGGGGAGGAGAGAATGAGAAGTCTGCTATAAAGAATGCAGGAAAAAAAAAAAAAAAGATTAAAAAAAAATCTGCCTTTAAAATCTGAAAGCAGAAAAGAAATATGAAGATCATCACTGAGAGAACTGTGTATTTCCCTTTCAGATAAAGTGATCCTCTAACGCTCGCTGTATACATAGCAAAGATTAACTCGCTTTTCCTTAGGTGTATCTTACTATTTTGGAAATACATCCCCTTCCTCCCACTCTGATTTGGTGTAAATGATTATACCCAGTTCAAGGGATACAAATTCAGGCTGGATGTCTGGGTAGCACCATGCGAACAGTCTTCCTTATAGCGTCTACAAGGAAGACTGAAATCCCGTATACAAGGCTGAGCCTTGCTCCATCTCAACACAACCCACGGCACAAGAAGGGAGGACTGCAGTACCTAGGGCACAAATACAATGGTGGGGACTGCAGGGATAATGTGGGGATGTGGGGATCAAATGCAGCTCAAATTCAACATCTTTATTGCACTTTATTACACTGGCAACCTGTGGCTCAGTATGTTTCATGGGGACTCCACGGTGCCCTGATACACAGAGGCTGTCTCTCAGCTCTGAAACGTCACACTACCCCAGTTCTCGCATCTCCACGTGCGGAAACTTGAGGCTACTTCAGCTGCAGAAATCTGCTTTTTCCCCAGAAGGATAACCATTATATACCTAGGAGTGAGACTAAGTCTCCAAAAAGACACCAAGAGCTGGAACCATCCCCAAGGGAAGGCAAGCTGCACACCCTTCTCCCCCAAGCATCCCTCCTCCGCTGACCAGACACAAAGGGCACCAAAGCTGTGCTAAGAAAGGAGAGCTTGCAAAAGCAAGCCAACCTGTCCTGCAGGAAAGCATGGGGCCCGCTGAGGTCCCGTGCCCCAGGGAAGCACGACGGCGGGTGGCTGTCAGAGCAGGCATGTTACACGGCTCTCGCCAGGACTTACTGCGTTTAGCCATGGCCAGCAGCTGATGGGAAGGACAGCAGGGACGAAGCCTCCAGACATCCGGGAGCCCATATGAACTTGCAGCCCGCCAGCCTCTAATCATCTTTTTATTTTTTTTTCTTCCTCCTTTTTTTTTTTCGGTTCTGAAGGCATGTGACTGGCCTTCACATACCAGCGCTGACCCCTCCCAAAGCCAGCGATTTCCTAAGAGCCGAGAAGGATGTTACCCTCCTGCTATTTCACTAAAGGACTAGGTTTCCTTGCCGATACGCATTAGGACCTCACGCCACCTAGGGTCCGCGTGTCAGTTACGCTCGGGATCCCTCCAGAGGGAAGGATGCCAAAGGTGCTGCCGTGCCCTGCTACCCG